TATTTTTTACGATAAGAACCTATAATTCGAATTTTTAAGTTCCTACCTTTAAACAAAATCGATACTTTCAAATAAACTTTCATCCCTGGTTCTCCCCTTAAAATGTGAAAATCCAAAAAACCTGAAACACGTCATTATTAATTTGTACTCAATAGCTGAATTACAATTTTCATGTTTCTAACTCCAAAGAGAACAAAAAAAATCGATAGTCCCATACAAACTTTCACTCCTCGTTTTCTCCCCTTAAAATGTGAAAATTCAAAAACCCTGAAACACGTCATTATTTATTTATGCTTAGTAGCTGTAATTTAAATTTTCATGTTTTTAACTTTAAAGAACAGAGTTTCATTAAAAGCTCCCTCTCCCCATTTCCTCCTATTCCCCCTTTAAAGTTAAAATTTCCAAACATTCTTTCTTAGTAGATGCTTATAAAATTAACATTGTTCCAAATGTCAGCTTTCTAGGCTCAGTAGTATTGGCTGTAGGTTGATAGGTCAGTCAGTTAGTCAGTCAGTCAGTCAGTCAGTCAGTCAGTCAGTCAGTCAGGACAAACAATTTTATATAGGTAAATAGATTAGTATGTCATAAATAAATTGTAAATAGTGTGTTTTAAATAAATAAACTCTAAATAAATTAAACAAACGTCACAATATTTTGATTAGGGAAAACTTGAGAATTAAAGGTAATAGAAGAGTAATTTCTACTTACATCAAAAATTAAAAACATAAACAAAAGTTAATGGTAAATGATTAACTAATCCTCCCATATAGAATATCTTGACAATTATTTAAAGAATGAATTATGTTACCAGTGCATAAAAAAAGGAATGCTTCAAACAAAGCATGAATTAATAAATGAAGAAATACCAGTTGGTTTCGGAATGCTTTTTAAAATGGATTGAAATTTTTCTTAAGGATCCTAGACAGAGAATTAACATCAAAAGACATCAAAGTTTTATTAGTGGTTCCACAGGTATTTCATTCTGATCTTCATTAATCAAAAGTTTTATAAACGATATGGATAAGAGCTTCGAAAAGTGTGATTACTTCATATTTGAAACTGAATAACTTTAGGCTGTTGTACAGGAAGATTTAAATAGTTTATTGGGTTGGTGTATGTCTAATACATTGGCATTTAAGTAATGTGAAAAATATTTTTATATTAGTTTTTTTAAATGTAGTAGAAAATTTCAAATATCTTATAATCTGCAAGGCAAAAGGATAACATTAATTTTATAGATCCCATTCATAACATTTTTGTGTAATCATTTAAAATGTTAGGCTTTGTGTTGAGAAATTGTAATATTCTCTCAACAAAAGCTACACAAACTAATTATAAAGCCCTGGTAAGGAGCGCATCTATAATTTATAACATGACTCACATTAAGAACCTATAGAAAGGGTGGAGAGTAAATTCCTGAGGTAATGTGGATAGTCAATATAAGCTGAGATTTCCAATTATACAGACATTTTGCAATTCCTCTTAGATAAAAGAGACCAGAGATATAACATACACCGGTGTTAAACCTGCACAAATGTTGCCAATTTCTAAAGAAAGGTTAACGGAGTGGGGGAACTGGACAGGGACCCGAACTTTGTGACAGGGGCCGGACTTTGTTTATTATCATCAAAATGAACTATTAGATTTATTTAAAATATACGTTCAATGGAATTGTATTATGAAATAAATTTAACGTCATTTTTTAATATCAAACAGATGCCACGACATTTTATGTAAAGAGAGGACCTTTTATAGAATATTTCGTTAGCTATTATTTACTACGGACTTTTCTGTAAGAGACTACAGTAAAATGTTGAAATAGAATATTGTTAATCTAGTAAAAAATGTCTAAGAGTATTATAAAAAAAAGCATGTGCGCAGGCGAATACTGCAAATCAAACCTTGTGAGTTGAACATTATATTTTTTCTACGACTATCACATAATATTAAAAATTAGTCAAAATGAGAAAATGCTGGTTTGTATTATAACCTCAGAAAAAGATATATTAAAGCTTGTTTCTTTAGGAATATTAATTAATATAGAGGATGAGTCACATAAAACTCTAGAAATGCATATGTCTGAAATCAGATAACATTTTAAAATTTAAACCTATTAAAAGGCATATGGTCGCCAGGAGTGGGAGATTATCGAAATAAATTATTGATTATTAATAATAATCGATTATTTTCGATCAATCGATTATTTTTAAACAATCTATTTTTGTTCGTATTTCTTTTAAAATCGACTACTTGATTATTTTTGAAAAATCAAAAATAGATTAATTTAAAAGCCAATTAACCAATAGATCAGTGTTTACAAAAAATAATAAACGAATTATCGTTTATTTTAAATAATCGATTATTTTTAAATAATCTATTTTTTTTTTCGTATTTCCATTGAAACAGATTATTCGATAATCTTTGAAAAATCTAAAATGATCGATTAATCATAAATAATCGATTAATAAAAAATAATTGATTAATCAAAAATAATCGATTAATTAAAAGTCGAATAATCAATAAATCGATTAAAAAAAAAAAGAATTATTTCCTTTAAAATCAATTATTCGATCATTTTAAAAACATCGAAACTAATCGCTTAATCGAAAATAATCGATTAAGGGAAAATAACCAATTAATTAAGAAGCCGATTCTACGTTAAATCGATTTTCCAAAAAAATAACTGAATTATCGATTATTTTCAAATAATCCTTTTGTTTTCATATTTCATTTAAAATTATTTGATTATCTTTGAAAAATCGAAAATATTCGATTAATAAAAAGCTGATTGACCGATAAATCGATAATTCTAACAAGTATTACAAATTAAAAATTTAAAAAAACCGACTTCAAAAACGTGCAGATGCCACATCTTAACCAAATTTATATGGGACCACCCCTGAGGTACCCCCTTTCTAACAAAAAAAGAATCATTGAAATCGGACACCGTGTTAAAGAATAATCCGGGTTGGCAGATATATATCACACGATATATATCATGTTATAATATATCGTGATATATATCATGATATTTATTGCTAGATAAATATCAATGTTGATGATATATATATCCAATATTTAAATATCTTTAAATCTGCTTAATATATAACAACCTGGCAACGTAGCATTGCATCAGTCTGTTAACAACTGTCTGGGATTTTTCTGGGTAGAGTGTTTACATTTATCGATTTATTCTCTGTTGTGTGCTATTTTTAGTTACAGTTAGGCATTGTGTGTTGCAACTATTATTTTTCTCTTTTCTATACTGTTTATTTATTATTAAAAAATGCCAAAAAGTAAACATTCAGTGTGGGTAAATTTTCGATGCGTAAATAAAGATCAGAATAGTGGTAAATGGGCTATTTGTAAAAAATGTGAAAAGGAGATGCAGGGAATCCCACAGAGAATGTTAAAACACATTGAAAAGTGTCTAAATAGTGAAGCTGGAACAACGGATATAAATACTATTGGAAATATTAATCAAACCTTGACCCTGGAACAAGAAGAAACTGAACGTGTTAAAAATAAAAATGGTAAGTTATTATATTTAATAAGCGCTTTTTAATAACCAAAAATGAAAATTGCATGGTAAATAAAGAAAATGTTACATTCTAAAAATACAAATTTGTATAAGGCTGTTGGTTGGCATGAATAAAAAATATAAAATAGTTTGTTATATGGTGTTAGCTCAGACATTTCCTTTTTTGAACTGTTTAATTATTACACCATCTCTTTTTATCTGCCGACCAATAATTATATCTATATTTAAAAAATAATATTTTACTTTCTCTTTCAGTAACGATATTATCATCAACAGTAAAACCGCCGAAAAAAAAGCCCTGCTTAGATATAAATAAATTAAATGTTGCTAAGGACGTCAGCGTAATTTCAACATCAAAATCATATGCACACACCATTGATTTACAAATTGGCAAATTTTTCTTTGCGACGAATACACCATTTAGACATGTAGAGCATGACGAGTTCAAAAAAATGTGTAAAGTTTTAAGACCAGGATACAAGCCTCCTTCCAGAAGGAAAATTGGAAATGATTTATTGGACGAAGTATATAATGATGTTACAGAACTATGTAAAGATAAATTAAAAGGAGAAGTTGTATCAATGTCAGTTGATGGATGGTCAAATGTTCATAATGAACCAATAATTTGCTGTTCTGTTATAAATGAATATGGTGAATCGTACTTAATTAAAACTGTGGATACCTCTGGACATTCACATACAGCTGATTACTTAAAGGAAGTCGCTTCTGATGCTGTTATACATATCGAAACATTTTTTGGTGCGAAAGTAAGAAGCATTGTGACTGATAATGCCAAAAACGTTGCAAAAATGAGAAAACTTCTAGCAGCCACACCTCAAATTGATGTTATACAATATGGTTGCTCGGCTCATATTCTCAACTTGTTGGCAGAGGATATACAGAATCAGGGCCTTAAGGAACATATTATAAAAGTTATAAAATACTTTAGAAACAAGCATTTACCTTTAGCCTGGTACAAGAGAGCGCAAGGGAAAATGCTTGTCCTTCCTCAAGAAGTTAGATGGAACACTGTAACTGATACATTAAAATCATACCTAGAAAATAGAGGGATACTTGTACAAGTTTGTCAAGATCATAAGGACGCCATTGATCGTGATATATTCTGTATTGTAAATGATATAAATATCACAGTAAATGCAAAAGAGTTTTTAAAGCGTATGGAGCCGATTGCAATTTCATTGGATCGCATGCAAAGGGATGGAACTACCATAGCCGTTAGTGTAGAAATTTGGAAAAAACTAGAAGAAGATTTACAAGGACAACCACGTAATGTGCTCGAACACTTTCGAACTAGAAAGGAGATGGCCTTAACACCAAGCCATTATTTAGCAAATTTATGCGACCATCGCTTTAGAGGGAGAAATTTAAATAATATGAAGAAAAGAATCTAGCATATCAGTATTTAGAGACTATAAATAACAATTTTATACCTTTTGTAATGGCATTAAATTCAGGGTCAAAACCGTTTCCTCAGTTTATGCTTGCGTCTGCTTTTCAAAGCACGCCCCCTATGACTTGGTGGAAGGCACTTACTTTAGATTTAGATGACAAAAAAGATTTCGTTTTTGATTGGACAAATTTACAACCCACCTTTTTAGAAATGTGTTCAAAGCTACTGACTGCAGTAGCATCATCTGCCGGATTGGAACGAATTTTTTCCACATTTGGACTTGTACAGTCCAAACTAAGAAATAGACTAGGAACTGACAAAGCTGCCAAATTAACTTTTATTTTTAAATTTCTTAATCAGGACTGTTCCAAGAAAGCCACCAATTTGGACTGGTTATACAATCAGCAACAAAACCTTGAAGTTCCTGTGGCATCCTGTAGTAAATATAACCCAGAGGAACAAGAACCAAACTCCGAATCGGACTGATTTTCTTCTTCTTATTTTGTTTTTATAAAATTAATTTGTCATAGTTTTTATTTGAAGTAAATTAAAAGTTAAAAGTAACAAACATTTTCTAAAAATAATAAATGAAAACAAAAACTTATTAAAAAGTGTGTAATTATAAATAAAAATTTAATTCTGTTATTAAATTTACTGTCAAAAATACTCGACAATCTGCAAAAATCGAAGAAATATATTAATATATTTTTTCATCATTATACACTTTAAATACTTCTTTGTTTTTATTACTTATTAACCACGCCTATTATCCTCCAAAAGGATTTTCTCAAAAGTTAATTGAGACAATCTGATATATATCAAATTTTGATATATGGGTGATTGTATGAATACTGAGTAATTCCATGTCCCTGCTCTGTAAAATCAATTGTATGTGTAATTAGAGTTGCAGTTAAATGTTTTGTTATCCAATTAAACATATATTTAATGGTAATATATTACATTTAAGGAAAAAAGTACGCATTACTTTTTTTTTTCGCAAAAAATCTGCCGGTTTGTCATTCCCGTGGCTGTCCCTACTATGACAACAAAACTTAATGTAATCATAATATTGCTAAAAACTTAAGTAAGTGAACACAATATTTTTTTACAACTGTGAGATACTTATATTTTACTGGAGCACGAATTAAACATGATTTACTTAAGGCATACTTAAATAACAAATTTTTAAAGACTGTCCCTTAAAAATCTCGTCATTACCGTGTTGATCACTTTACCGCCTTTTTTGAATTTGACCTTGGTGTTAAGAAAACACAACAACGCCATTATTTCCGTTCAAGTCGACAGTTGCCTAAGAGCCGTCGTCGAATTCGAACAAGCTGTATTCAAAATTGTGCGACGCGAATTTGTGCTTTTAAACAAGGTTGTAACCTGCTGGTCCGTCATTACCATGGTAAGTGAAAATTTGTTTTAGATATATATTTTTTTTTAACAAATTACTTTAAAATGAACTAAAAGTAGTGTCCCTCTCATACATGCAAAATTTAGTTGAATTTGTTTGTATTAATATATTTTTTAAATAAATATTGCCGAATATGTCATTCCCGTGTCGTCATTCCCGTGAAATTTTCTTGACACGGGAATGATACGTTTGACACGAAAATGACGAACATCTAATAAAAAGTAAAAAATGTAGATTGACTTTTATTTATTTGGTTTAGGACAAACGACAAGGCGTAAAGAAACCGAGGGAAGATATTTTAAGAGAAAAAAGAGAGCGGGAGCGGGAAAGACGAAGAAAAATACGGGAAGATCCAGTTAAAAGGCAAGAACAAAAAGAGAAGGAGCGGCAAAAATATTTGAAACAGAAACAAAATAATCTTAAGAAAAGTGTTAAAGACATGACCCCCAGGGAACAACGTCGAATACGAAAGAAATGGAAGGAAAATTCAAAGAACTACCGTTTAAAAAAGAAGCAAACAGAAATAGAAACGTCTTTATTGGAATTAAATACCCCTCCTATTTCTTCCGATGAAGAAAACCAGCCGGCAAACGTGGACGTTTCTTTTCAGCGACAGATTGGCAGAAAAATAGCCAACAGAAACAAAATCAAACGATACAGGGAAAGGAAAGAAGCAGCGATTAAGATGCAGGATTTGAAAAGGAAGGCTGAACTATATAAAAAGAAATACTATAGACTTCTACAAAAGAACAAACAACAAAGAAGTCATGAGACTACTGATTCAAACTTGACTCCACTAACAAAAGTAAACATGTTATTAAATGCATCCCAGATTGAACCTTCAAAAGTTGAAGAAGTAAAGAAAAGTTTAATATTTGGTGAAGTAGTGCAGCAGCAGTTAGTAAATACTTACCAAGAATTAAAAAGCGATCAAAAGAAACAAGTATTTAAAAAAATGTTGGATGGCAAAGTAATAGAAAAATACAAAATGCGAACAAAACTTTCTACAGTCATGAAATTTCGAAAATCATCAAATTTCAACAATAAAAATATAATGAGTTTTGAGAGAAAAAAAGGCAAACATATTCAAAGAACTGACATTATTAAACTAAAAATTAAAGACTTTTTAGAACTAGAGGACAATAGTAGGGTATGCCCTGGTAAAAAAGAATTTGTAAAAAAAGATAAGGTAACAAAACAAAAGCGTTTTCTTTCAAACACGTTGAAGAATTTGTACCAAAAGTTTCTTCATGCATATCCGAACTTCAAAATAAGTTACAAATTTTTTTGTCTTGCCCGACCTTTCTATATTAAGCCAATGAGAGTTTCCGATAGAGAGACTTGCAAATGTATTATCCATGCCAATATGGAATTAATAGTTCAAAGTCTGTACATAAATAAAATTGTATTTGGGAAAACTCCCAATGATGTAATTAAAGATATATGTTGTAGCACATATGCTGCAGACTGCCTTTTACGTAAATGCAATAATTGTGAAAATGCCAAACCTCATTTTAAAGAGTACATTGAAAGCGAACTTTTACAATATTTCCAGTGGATTTACTTAAAGCAGAACTATTTCGACAAGAAAACACAAACAGTTAAACAAACCAGAAAAGTCGCAAAGCAACCCAAAGAAGTCAAAGCAGCTGAGTTGGTAACTATTTTCATGAAAAAGCTGCCAGTATTTTTGAGTCATGAAGGCAGAATTTTACATCAGCATCACTCTATCTCCGTACTGAAGAAAGTGTTGAAAGCCAACGAAATCATAATACATTGTGATTTCAGTGAAAATTATTCTTTGAAATATGCGGAAGAAATACAGTCTTTTCATTTTGGAAGTGCGAGACAACAAATTACATTGCACACTGTTGTAGTTTACTCCAATGATGGGTTAGACACTGTTACCAAAAGTTACTGTACTCTGTCAGAATCACTACATCATGGACCGGCAGCTATTTGGGCTCACCTCCAACCTATCCTAAAAGAATATACACAAAATAGAATCGATACAATCCACTTTTTAAGTGACAGTCCTGCAACCCAATATAGGAACAAACAGATGTTCTCTTTCCTTACTAATCACTTCATGGAGCATTTTCCAGAAGTTAAAAATGTTTCATGGAATTACCACGAAACAGGTCACGGCAAGGGAGCTCCTGATGGCATTGGTGGCGTTTGTAAGAGAACTGCAGATCGAGTTGTGGCACAAGGGAAAGACATTTCTAGTTTTGAGTCTCTCGTTAATGTTTTAAAAGAATGCTGTCCTGGTATATCTTTTTATATAATTAATTCTAAAGATATAGACACGTTTGCATCTATTATCAGTAAACAAAATCTGTTAGCTTTTAAAGGCACTCTAAAAGTGCATCAGGTTATACCTGTACAAAAAAAGCTTTGGTTAAGAAGTCTTTCTTGTTTCACATGTACAGATTTCTGTAAGCACTACAATCTAGGATCCATCTCTTATGAAGATGTATCCCCTTCTTCAAAGACACATGAATGCTCTGATGAAGATTTGCCCCTTAGTACTTTATTAAAAAACGATTCTAAATTAAAATTTAGTGATGTTTATAGTGATGATGAAGTACCAACTTGTTCTTATTTCAGTTCCGGAGCAAAAACTGGAAAATATGTATTAGTGTCTCTGAAAAGTGTTAATAAAAAACTTGCTATAAATTATAGATATGTAGCTGTGTGTCAATCAGATTTTCAAGATGATGAAATTAAAGTTGCTTTCTTGAGACTCTCTGATTGTGTAAATGGAGATACATTTAAGATTGGAGAAGAAAATGACGTATCTTATGTTCAAGAAGAACAGATACTTGAAATTCTTCCGGAACCAAAATTAATAATAAAGGGACACAGAATATATTACAAATTTCCGCGTTCAATTGATGTATTTGAAAGTGCATAAGTTTAAATTATTTTGATGTTATTCTATATTAGTTTTTTTTTTAACAGAGTTCCTATTTTGTTTTCCATATTATTATTAATATATATTTTTTTTTTTTGATAAATGTCTCATTAAATATTTGTTTTATTAAAAAAAACTTAAATAATTAAATTAAAATTTAAAATCAATCTCATGTTGTATAGTTTTCCTTCCCCTGTATACAATTTGTCATTCCCGTGTATAATTTGTCATTCCCGTGACACCATTTTACAAAAAAATATCAAAAAAATAAAAACTAAGCATTTTTAAGCTGGTTCAACTTCACACAAGAACTCAACCCTTCTTTTGATCATATTTTAATAACTGATACTATAAAATTTTTTTATTATTTGATTTGACAAATTTACTTCAAGTAATTACTCAATATTCATACAATCACCCATATATCCGATATATATCGTATATATCCGATATTTTGATATTTATAATAAATATCATGATATTTGTCAACCCTGAGAATAATCGCTGAACATACATAAAAAAAAAAATATCGCGACGGATTGAAAAAAAAAATATCGCGACGAATTGATAACCTCCTCCTTTTTTGAAGTCGGTTAAAAAATAACCGAAATATATATTATATAAAATAACCGATTATATTCGATCAATCGATTATTTTCATATAATCTATTTTTTCGCAATTCCTTTAAAAGAAATTATTCGAATACCTTTAAAAAATTGAAAATAATCGATTAATCTAAAATATTCGGTTAATCGAAAATAACCGATTAAGCGAAAATAACCAATTAATTAAGAAGCCGATTCTACGATTAATCGATTTTCCAAAAAAAAAAAAAAAATAACTGAATTATTGATTATTTACAAATAATCCTTTTCTTTTTTTATATTCCTTTTAAAATTGATTATTTAATTTTCTTTGAAAAATCGAAAATAATCGATTAATAAAAAGCTGATTGACCGATAAATCGATAATTCTAAAAAATAACCGAAATATCGATTATATAATATAACCGATTATATTCGATTGATTATTTTTATATATTCTATTTTTTGTATTTTAAAACAAATTATTCGAATACCTTTGAAAATTCGAAAATAATCGATTCATCGAAAATATTCTATAAATCGAAAATAATCGATTAATTTAAAAAGTCGATCAAACAATAAATCGATTTTTCTAAAAAAAAAAAACGATTATTTTCAATAAATCTACTCTTTTTGTAATCCCTTTATAATCGATTATTCCTTTACCTAAAAAAACGAAAACAATTTATTGAAAATGTTCGATTAATCAAAAATAATCGATTAATAATTATAAATTAATTATAAATCGATTTTCATGAAAACGATAAATCGATTATTTTTGTATCGGTCATGCTTTTATCCAAGCATTTAGCTCTAAAATTTATGGATTCGGATTTATTGATCCTGTTTATCTTTGAAACCGCATTCGATTGTATAATAAATATTGCTAGAATTTAGATTTTTTTAGTAAACGAAGATTTTTTTTCGAGTTGTTTAGGGGTTTATAATGTAACATTTTACTAATAATATGACTAATTTCCGTAACTTTAGTATTGTTTTGCTTATACTAGATCATATTGCGCGTTTTACTTTATTTTAAAACTTAAGATTCAAATGTCACTTCCGATTTAAACGCAAATAAAATGAACCTTGAAATTTTAAGTAGGTGAGCCTGTATTTCATCTAATATTCTTGTAAAAATACCTAATAAAGGGCTAAAAACCACCTTTAGTAAATATTCTTAGAACACTACTTTTTAAAAACAATGTTTCGTTAGTAACAATGCCTATTTACTTCTTATTTAGATTAAATGTTTAAAATTTTACTCTTTTGTAAATTAATGCATTATGAAATCTATTTTCTGAAATATTATGTATTTGACGCTTAATATTTATTGAAACCCCTTAATGCGGATCTGAAGTATTCAGCTCAAAGAATCATGGCGACTTTATGTCAAAACGTCAACAAATATTTACCGCTGAAAACGAATATATTTCTTATTTTTCATAACATTGACACGTATATTATTTGTATATACAATTTTTCACCATACATCGTGGCACTTTCAACTTGAAATTGAATAACTAAAACACTTTAAATTGCTAATAACACCAACAAATAATTCAAAAAACGGCGGTCCATAATGATTTACTCACGCGGAGACAAGCATAGAATAGATATTTCGGAGCAATTCGGGTGGCGTCGTGAACACAATGATTTTTAATTGGTGGGTTACTTGGGTTTAAAATAGACAACATGCGCAGTGTGCAATGTTACATCTCCAGTCTCTTTTATCTAAGCAATTCATAGATTTATGTCTACTGGAATTACTTAAAAAATATCATGACCTGTCATTTGTTTTCAAACTTATAAACTGTTCTAAGGGGTATATAAAATAAAATAAATAAAATTGGCAAACATGAATAATTTGGAAATGTTTGAAATGATTTGAGAGTCTTTAATGCTTATATACCTAAGGAGAGAAATAAGATTAAGGTTAGATTGTAAATGATGTAATGTGTTTTAATTCTAAGGAACTGTTTATTTTTTTTTGTTATATGTACTTTATAATTTCTTTTTATTACTTATATTGTTAAATCAAACTTTAATATAGGTATGTAAAATTTGTTTTTAAATAAATTTATTCTTATCATTTGCAATGGGGTCTTTCCGTAATATAAACATAGCCCAAAAGCAGTATTATCCCACCGAAATCAGGACATATAGTCATGGTTTGCACTTATGAAGTTTGACCCTAACATCTCAATCTGAACTGCCCTATATATAGCCCCAAGAGCCAAACCCCAACTATCATTTGAAAAATAAATATAAGCTCATAAAGGCACTTACTTTTTTTGAGAACAGACCATGGATACCCTCTCTTCTTTTGCATAGGAACATTTTTCACAGTACGTTTTGATGATTTCGATTTAATTACAATTTGTTTGCTGCTACACGGCTGTACAAAATAATTCGGATAATCATTGATCTCATCCTCTTTTTTTAGAGTAGGCAAATCACAACAGGACGTCAAAAGTTCACTTTCATCTTTAAACTGGGCATATTCACTTATTTCGCTAATCACAGGCTTGATATCACTGATATCTGCCACTTTAGTTTCGTTAGCTTTTTGAGGTTCTTCTTTAATGGTGTTAGGAACATTATTAACATTGTCACGCACCGATTCGTACTCAATCTTTTCCAAAAAATCAGAACTTTCAATTTTAAACAGTTCACATTCTTGTTTGATTTCATTAAAATTTACTAACTCCTTCGTTGTTTGATATTCATAAATATTGTCAGTATCACCAAGCACGCAGTCTTGATCGTTTTTAAACGTTTTATCCCTTGTAGAACACCAATAATTTCCATTCATTTGATCGGAAACAAAATCTGATTCTATTTTAATTATCTTCTTATTGGGATCAAAGAGTTCTTGTTTCACATCCATCGTTGTATTAATTGAATAAACGATAAACTAAGCACTGTTTTCAATAATTCAATCATTCAACATAAATGGAGTTTTACTTCTTAAAAATGTAATTAAAAAAAGTGAGAATAAAAATAAAAACAATATTTTGGCGTATGACATCTGGCATACACACAACATTGCCAACCCAATTCACGAAAAATCCTCGTAAAATTTCTTGAATTTTTTAATTTTTTTGTTTTTTTCGTGGATATCAAACAAAAGACTTTAATTGGTTCCAAAAACAACTAATTAAACTGGTAAGTCAATGTAAATATTTGGTTCGGTAAAATTTGTCTGTGCTATTCTGGGGCGAGGTAGAAATTTATTTTTCTATGGGTAGAAACAACCTGTAGCTGATCGTAATCAAAGATAAAATAATATAAACGGGATAAAGTAATTCTTCAAATCTGTGTGTGTAATGTGTCTCGCTAGTTTATAATGTGACGTAAATTTTGTTCCCCTGGAGCGCGTTCAGGAAACACGCTCCGACCAAAAAGAGTGCGATCAATTTGGTCTTGGTTCGTTCAAGAACAGTCAGGGTTCAATTATGGACGTTTAGCTACTCTCGTTCAGAAAGTCGAGTCAAATTAGTCTGGAGTGCACTCTTTTTACCCAGTTTAAACAGGGTTAATTTGAGTAAATTTGACAGAACGTAGAGTTCTTTTGCAGAAGTTGCTGTTTCATATTATTTTTGTGTGTCATAAAGGTGTTTGTACCAATGAACTGGAGTGGGGTAGAAAGCCAATGTGCATATTGTATCAATCATTGATCTGGCAACCTAGGGATACGACATGCCTAATCGAAAAGTGGGACCGGTCCGCCATTACTGTGAGTGCAAATTGTCAAATTTTATAGGTTATATTTTTAGTGTCATTTGTGTAATTAAATTTGAATTTAATTTGTGTTTGAGCAAATTTTGAGTGTTAAAAACTTATAAAGTATATAATGCCTTGCTGTGTTATATGTTCCTGCTCTAGCGATAGACGTTTTTGTGAAAAATCGACTGGAATAACGTTTCATAGGTTAGTATCAAAATTATAAATATTATACAGGACAGTATTATGACAGGTTTGTATAAAATGTGTAAAAGTATGCTTTTAAAAATGCAAAAAAATCATCTATCAACTTTTGGGCCCACCTATATTGGAATAAATACTTTTTCATACGAAATAATATTTATGGATTTCCAAAAAATCCTGAAAAACGTAGCGCGTGAATACAGTTTGTCAAGAAGCATAATTGGGAACCTTCTAAATTATATATATATATATGTATATGTTCCAAGCATTTTCTTGAGAAGTACATTAATCGTACGCTATTTCGTTTATCAAATTTATAGGCATTTTATATATTCTTATTTCTATTTAAATATAACCTACATTTGCGGTCCTTCCACCAATTTTATTTATTAGTTCTACAGCTGATTGAAAAGTAGAGCCTTATGTTTTGTGTATGCATGAGTATTGTTTGTTTTATTATAGTTAATTTAAAACAATATTAATAT